TGAATATATAAATTTCTTTTTGGTATGTATACTTTAAAATTAACATCTTCTTTTTAAAGATTTTCTTTGCTTTTGCCCCCTTAAAATCTTTTTTAAGGATTTCATTTTGACATAATTTCAGTTATAAGAATGTCACAAAACAAGTACAAAGAATTTCTATATACTCTGCATCGAGATTTCCCAAATATTAGTGTTCTCATATGCTTTATTCACACACACCCACAAGCACACACACCATTTTTCTGACCATTTAGGTGTGAATGGTTGATATACTACCCTCTTATTCCTAAATATTTCATATATATTTCCCGAAAACAACATTTTCTTATATATCTACAGTATACTTATGAAAATCTAAAGGTTTTCAGCTGCGTGCTTATAATCCTGAGCCAAGAGGATGACAGGTTCATGGGCAGCATGGGCAACTTAGATCCTGCCTGTCTCAAAACAAAACATCAAAAAGGAGCCAGGGATATAGAGAGCCCGTGGATTCCATCCCCAGTAACAAAGCGGGTGGGGGGACGACTTAAAAATATTATCATTATATATAGACTTTATTCAAATTTTACTCTTTATTCCAGTAATGTCCTTTGTAAGTCTCAGGTCATACGTGGCATTCAGTAGCCATGCTGCCTCTTGTGCTTGCATGAATATTTTTCAATACAGACAGGTCAGTTATTTTGTGGAATGTCTCTTGATTTGAGTTCCTCTGCTGTTCCCTCATGGTTGAATTAAGGTTATGCATTTTTTACAGGAATAGTCTTCTCAAGTATGTCATGTCAGGTGGCACATGGTGCCTGTTTATCTTATAACTGCTGTTATTAACTCTGATCACTTGGTTAAGGTAGTAAGTGCAAGATTTTCTCCACTATAAAGTTATTCTTTGTAGTTATTCTCTGACAGTTTTTAACTATCATGTTATTCCTCAAATTAAACATTCTTCCACCAGGTTTAGCATCCATTGATGATTCTTATGTGAATATACCATTATGATGTGACTAAATGATGATTTTCTCATTTTATTATTCTTTCAACATTCGTTAATTGGCTTTTTATTTTAAAAAGGAACTTTTCCTCTCCCTGTACATGTGTATTTGTATGTTTGTATTGGTAACCACATGGATTCACAGATTTTTATTTTATTCAATTAGTTATAATCATTCACTATCATTATTTATTTTAATGCTGTTTTATCTGAGATTTAGCCAGTGAGAACTCCTCCAAGCTGTCTTCTGTGTTTTTTCTTATATTACCTTCATTTTCTTTATATTTTCTTTTTTGGCACATAAGAAATTCCAGGCACAGGCTGCCTTGTACCTTCCCTGCCCCAAAACTTCCCTAAAACCAGCCATTTTGCAGAGAGTCCTGGTTCTTCTTTAATGGAGAATGGTATTTAAAAGCTATTATTTGGGAGCTAGATGTACTTATTTCTTTTGGTGTCCACCATTCCCAGGGCTTACGAGAGGTGTAAAAGGGTAGAAATCTATAGGACTGGAATATGTATACACATGCATATATCTACACACATGTATATTTCTGTATCAAGCTTTTTTAATATATGAAACAGGATGTGTTTATAATTGCTACCTCTAATTTCAGTTCACCATTATAGGGTTTATTTTACCTTCTCCTTTCCCTATTATTTGCACAGTTCTAGAATACATAGAAACTAGTTTCAGAATCACTTACCCAGACCTCTGCAAAATATAAATGTATCGGGTAGAGTTTGAAATTTGTTGAAATTTCTTTTTGCCCTGATTCATTCTCCTCCAAAGAATTTAACATGTCTACACTTTGGCATTTACCTTGGAGAAGGGTCCTCAGTTCACTATTTGCCGGCAGTGTGAAAGCACATCACACATATTTCCATTTAACCCCAAAACACCCCTGGAACCTAGGCGGCAGCCTTCCCATTTACCAATAGAGCAAATGAGGCACATGGAAATTAAGTAGTAACTGGCAAGTAGCAGAGGTGGGATTCAAGCCCAGGAAGGTCGGACTCATGGCCAGTGTTCTTGTGATACTGTGAAAGTGAATGAGGTCAACAAAGCCAACTCCTTATCAAGACAGCAGTGAGCTGCTTCTGTACTGGTTTTTCTGTACCACGGCTGCTCAGTCGGGCCGGGGGCTTTCTGTCCCTTTTTTAGGCTTAGAAAGAGATAAGTTTGACAACAAGACTGTCACCTTTGAAGAGCACATCAAGGAAGAACACAACATGTGGCACTATCTGTGCTTCATCGTCCTGGTGAAAGTAAAGGACTCCACAGAATATACTGGACCAGAGAGTTATGTGGCAGAAATGATCAAGGTAAGTGGGAAGGAGTCCCGGAGAGAGGGCAGACTGGGACTGCTGGACTGGCTTCTCAGCTCAGAACATAGTCCCAGCAGCCTATGGAGAGCTGCAAGCAGAATACTAACATCTGATGCTCACTAAGCTCTTCTCCTAGATGAGGCATTGTCCTCAGTGACCCACCAGACCACACAGCTGCTGTCAGCCTGTTTCAAAGGAAGAAACACTGAATGTTTAAGAGATTAACATGGTCATTAACTAGCGATGGAGTCTTAAGCTAGATCTACATCTAGATCAGAGTGCTCCACCCAATTTCCCATCTCCTTGTCCACCTGTCTGTCTTCTCAATAATACTTCCCTCTCTTGCTCCTTAAATAAGACCTGGTCTCTAAGTGGTGTCTTAACAGCAAAATGATCACCTGGTGTAGTTTAGCATTGTTAGGGCTTAGCCTGGTCTTCTGGGAGTTGCTTTGCTAATCATCAGGAAGGGATCATATGTAAAGAATTTGAGTTCTAGATTAATCTTCTTGTTGATGGGAAGTGTGGACTGCCATGTCCCAGGAAGAGAGTGAATGCTGCAGGTTTTTGTAGCATTCTTCTCTGGCAAGGTGCAGTGGGGGTACCATACATGTATTAGGGGAGTCCTGGGCCAGCTGTCCTTTCAGGCCTGTGCTTTCCTAATCCATTAAAGTGTGTAGGTGTCATGTGGTAAAGTGAGGAGGCATGAACTATGAAATCAAAGGCAGCTTTGTGATGTAGGCTGGCTTACTTTCAGGAAGGGGCCCTGTCAGCGACTAAGACTGCGTTTTTAACTGCCCTTCTTCCCATTGCCAAGGACTTGTGCGGTCTACTCATGAGTTGTCCTGAAGGACCCTGTCTGTGTTTCTTACACAGATGTGATTTTTACGCTTTTCATGTTCATGTACTTGAAGTCAGGTCTGTTCATATAAGCATCAACATTTGTGTGCCTAGACATAGTTCCATTCAGTTCCATTGCTGGCCACGCAGCTGTCACATGGTCATATTTCCTAAACACCCATGTTCCACAGGCTCAGAGGGTTCATGGATGAGGCACTGTAATCTGTGAGCCCTATATGTCCACTCAAGTAACCCTCAGGACCACCAAGTAGCTGATGTCAGCCTGTTTCAAAGGAAGAAAAACAGGCTGAGAGAGATCAGCACAGAACCATCTAACCAGGACTCTGTGGGGCTTTCTAGTGGGGGTAGTGTGCTATCTGTACTTTTGAGGTTCTTAGGATCTAATTCTGTGTTTCTTAGATTTTAATGTACATATGAATCATCTAGTAAAAATTCAAATTGTGACTCCGCAGTCACTGCTAAGACTTACCTATTTCTACCAGCCTTCCCAGAACCCACCAAAGCTACTGGGCTGGGCATCACCCTTGGAGTAGTAAAAAGCCAACAGAAGAGACAAAAGAGAAACTGACTTAAGAAATTACCATGCAGACTGTTTATAAGACTGCTGAGGAGAAATGTTCCCAGTCCTTTCTCTCTGTGTAGTCCCTTCCCTTCTGTGAAATTCTTTCTCATTTAGCATTGTATTTTGTCCTTAAAATTACCCTAAGTGGGAAACTGAGAGGAAGGAGCTTCTGGGATAAGGAGAAATGGATGAGCTTTATAGCAGAGATGACTTCTGGAAAGGGTTTTGAAAGAGAGAAGGTGAGACAGGGGCAGAGATAAGCAGAAGGAAGCAGGAAAAATGAACACAGAGACAGAAGAGGTAAAAAGCACAAATTCAAGAATGGGGATGATGGTGTATCTCCTTTAACTGATGAAAGCCAGGCTAGGGTACATGACTTGCCCATGAACAGCTCAGAAGGTGCCAAGCCAGGGTTTAGAAATCACACTTCCCCCACAGTCCTGTGTTGAGAGGCAACTGGGAGGATGCTGGTGAGCCTTGGCCAGGTGGAAATAGCCTCCTGCAGGTGTGGAGATGGGGAATGTGATGGGAACATGATCACTGAGAAATCCTCACTTCTTCTCCTCATGCAGGCAAATTAAACCTTCTGTTAGCATGCAGGCAAACACAAAGCTATACATATCAGATAACAACCTGTAGTTTTCCCTTTGCCATTCATTCCTTTTCTCTTCTCACTTTCTTTTCTTCTCTCTAAAGTGTTTACATGTGCCCTGTATTTAAATCTTCTGGAGGTTAGTTCTGATGTTTTTTTGTTAATCACTTTACATTACAGTCACAGAAAACTCTAGTGCCCTTTTGGGCTTCTGTCTCTGTCATTAAGACTTAAAGGAGTCTTGTGTACAGTCACTTGATGAGGATTAAGAGCCACCCTTGCCTGCCACCCTCTGCCTGGAGCCCTCTGCACAGTGATACTCTGTATGGCCATACAGTATGCTTCCCTGTCCACATCATTCCTTGACTGTATGAGACGCCTTATCAAAAAGACTGAAAAGCTGTGGCATCAAAGAATTCTTAACTCTGAATGTCAGGGTTGCTGAGGAGCCAGATGTTTTGTACCCTAAGTGATGGTGCAGGGACGTGTTAAGAGTCACCAGCTGGAAGGCTGTGCCTTTTTTGCCAGTAGTGTTTGCAGCAGTGTCTCATCTTGACGCCATATGAATCCCTGCTGGGAACTCCCAAAAGAGCATCTGCAACAGCAGAGAAGGAGCTGGGGGATGCCAGGTTATAATGTTCAGCAGATGCTGGATACCCCACCCCAGACCCCCTCACCTGTAATGGAGCTGGGCACATGCCCACGCCCATGCCCTGGGAGGCAGCTGCAGCCTGGAGGAGAGAGGTCTCCACCACCTTCACCTCTGAGGAAGTAGACATGCTTACTGCTCCTGCAAGTTAAAATCAGGGGATCTGTTTGAGAAGCCAGGCCCAGAAGGGTACAGGGGCAAGAAGAGAGGAGGGGCATTTCATGAACACTGTCAAAGAAGTAAGGGAAAATCAGCTGGAGGATCGCCATCCTTCTGCATACCACATGTGCCAAAATAAGTCTTTGGATTTTTTTTCAAAGCACAAGCCTGCTCTTTGGTGGCATGTGATCCTTAAGCCATCTCTTGCTTAATGGTGGAAGGCTGAGAATGTTCAGTCCTTCCTCAGCTCTCCTGTAGCCCATTAGTTAAGATCCCTGAAGATTTGTGAAGTGACAGCTACTGACGGCAATTCAGCAGGACCAAGTGGAGAGGCCATAGGTGGTCATACAAAAGGTGGCAGATCTTCCCAGGGCCCTGAGAACAACTCCTTGCAGACCAGTGCTTCAGAGATGGCAATAAGTTTTATCTTAAAAGCCAGCCTCTGGTTGGTAGAATCTGCCTGGGGGACAATACTGAGATGGGTTCTTGGAAGCACACCTGACTTTGGAAGAATGACAAGTGACTAGCCATTAATGAAAACGGTGGAAAGGATGGCTGTGTGCTGAGCATTGGTCCTTTCTGCCCCCATACCCATGTTCCAAAGGTATACCTCCTCCTTTGGTGGCTGCCTGGCCATCTAAAACACAAAACAACCTTTCTGGATCCAAAACATGACCTTTCCTAACTCCTTCTAGAACTTGCCTACAGCCAAGGCAATAGAACTACTCCTCCCTATAAGTGGAAATTCATCATTTCTTGCCATCCCTGGAGGGAGCAAAAGAAGGAAAATCTGAAGAAGCTGGATCTCACAGTTGAGAACTTCATGCTAGCTGTTCACTCACAAATTAATGCTCACTTAAACACAAGAGATCATATTCTCTTTTCTCTGGTCATCTCCTTTCTTAATTCATTGAAGATGAAAGTATCCCTGGCTAAAACAGGGCCAGGCTAATGCCTACTAGGAACTCATCTCTATTTCAGGTATTGGATCTGGAAGCAGAAGATCCAAAGTTTGATTTTCAGCTGTGCTGCTTCATAGCTGTGTAACCCCTAGCAAGTCATGGGACGTCACTGACTTGAGTTTCCTGTCTGTAAACTGAGGTTAATCCTACCTCACACATCCATTGTGTGGCAGTGAGATAAACAGATGAGACCTGGTAGGTGGTAGCCACTTGTGGAGGAAGGGCAGAGAGGACAGCAGCAGACTTAGAGCTCAGTAGCCAGGAAGCAGAGCACCACAGACTGACGGAAGATATGCTGGGAGTTTCATTTCCTGTAGTTCCAGGACTCTGAGGCACCTTGGCTGCTGGCATATTGTTACTAAGAGAAATCCGAATAGACATCTTGACACTAAGAACTTCTGTGGAAAATCCCTATGTCCTCCCTTCTCTCAAATGTTAAAACATTCAGTACCCTTCAGTTTGGGGGCAGGGCATGGTTGGAGTTGTCACTCTTTTTCAGTTCTGTCATGCAGAGATACAGTACTTGTGAATTCTATCCTTATATTTAGTGGTCTTACCTGCTTTCACTAGCTAGAATTAGACTGGAAATAATTTGAGAAGTAGTCTATGGATTCTTAGATTGTATTAGATTACACTTGGTTTGCTGGTGACTTTTCCCTTTGCTTGAGCACCTGATGACAGGTGATTCTGTGCTTCCAAGGTAAGGGGAAGCTCACCCTCCTCCCCTGTATCTTATAGCACATTTATTACAGGAGAAGCAGTCTCATTGTTAGTCACCAAAGCCCTAGACAGACTGTGCTTTGGAGACAGGGAACTGCATAGTGACCTCACCATAGCCCGTGGCAGTTCAAAGCAGAAGGAAAAATGTGTCTTTTCCACACAGGAACTTGGAGTTTGGTGCTAGCCTGTTTTCATAACCACTTTTAGGGGGTTACTGAGGATTGAAGCCAGGGATATTCTACCACTGAGCTATGTCTTCAGTATTTTTATTTTTTCTTTTGAGACAGGGTCTCACTAAGTTGCCCAGGCTAGCCTGGAACTACTTGCAGTCTCCTGCCTTAGCCTAGAAGGAGCTAATAAGCAAACTTTAATTAACCTTGGTCTGCATTTAAATTTTCACAATCATTTATGTGCCACACACCATTTTTTGTATAATTTTAGCACTGTTCAGCTTTGCTCAAATACTGCTTAAACTGAAAATTTATGTTAGTCTTTAGATGGTAATTTGGAAGGCCATGCTTTTGCATTAGAAATTCACTATGAGTATTTTGCCCAAGAGAATTTAAATACTGCACAAATGGGTGCATTATAGGTAAAAGATCAAATATATGATCACCAGGAAAGATGTAATAGCCCACTTTTCTACTGCATTCAAGTACAGGAGACCAGGTTAGTCTTAAAAGTTAAAAAATTGAGACACATTAAAAGAGAATTTAGTAAAAATAAGCAATTGAAATATAAAGTATCTCTTTCCTAATTAAATATAAATTTCACTTCTATATCTTGGAATTCTGTGTATTAATGTAAGTCATGTTTTCAGAGGTGTGTTTCTGAGTGAAAAGCATATAAACACAGTGAGCAGATAAGAGTATTGTTCATCTGCTGATATCTTGTCCTCCAGGGCAGATACTCATTGATGACTAACTGGGGAGAACCTACCTCTCCACAATAGCCTGAGTGGTGTGTGGCTGGGAATGCATCGAGGCTGTTGCAGGAGGATTGGGCTGTGCTGTGGAATGTTTGGCCACTGCAAGGGCCAGTTGGATAGTAACACTGTTGTCGTTAATCAATGTTTATGAACCACTTTATGTGCAGGATCTCATTTAATCCTCCACACAGCACAGTGAATGGCACTGTTCCCATTTTACTGATGGGAACCTTTAAAGTCAGGAAGATTGAGCACCTTCACGAGGGTCACACAGCTGGAGCAGAGCTGCTAAGTCAACTCAGCCCATTGTGTCCTGACCACCCATCTCCGTGTGCTTACAGATGCCATTACCTCATGCACGGGCATATACCCTCTGGATCAGAGCCTGCAGCACTCAGTCCTCTGGCTGTGTCTGGTTTTCCTGACTTGGACTGGCTTATCTTCCAGGCTCCTTGCTATCAATACTAAGCCTTTAGAAGAGGCAGAAAAGGCCTCATGGGGGTTAGAGAGAAGGGTATGAAAGAGGATCTCCTAGGTAATGCTGAGTGGCCAATGCATAGATCAACAAGAGGTTAGAGGTGGCTTAATTCTCAGAGGCACGACCCCCAGCACAACTCTTCAGGAAACTACCTCAAGTATTACAGTGGATTGTTGGATGACAGAAGTTGGGGAATGGGCAAAGCATGGCTCTTGCAAAAGATGTATCTGGAATATATTAATTTTGACTTGCTAAACTCATACGCTCCACTGCCCTTGCTTAAATTTGAGACAGAGAATATATGTCCTTTGGTGGCCACATGTCAGTGAAAAGAGTGTTGAGTATACCCAGGAAAGGATAACTCACCAGAACCACAGCCAGATGAGTTGCCACACCCCGTTGACTCATCCCCGTGAGTGTAAGTCCCTAATAATTAAACGTGAGAATATCTGCTCCATCATCCTTTAAGCCTGATGCCAGCTCTTTCTCAGAACCAGGCAGACACCTCTACTCTGTCCTCTTTCAGGCCATGGGGTGCTTTTACATAGAAGGGAGGGTCCCAAGAAGGGAGGGTCCCAGGAACTAGCATTCCTGGAAAATGCTTTCCTAAAGCTTGGTACAGTTTATATTTTTAAAAAAGCAATGTAAAAGAGATCCTTTTTGCTTGAAAATGTCTCTTCAAGCAAATAAATTCTATTAGCAAATTAAGTGATCCTAAAGATCTATGAAGAAACTAAAAAGCAATAAGACAGCTGGCCCCAGCACTCTTATCTCTCCATTTGATAAGACACAGGAAGCAAACACAGCCAGAAAGCAATGTGTTAAAAGGGCAAAAGATCAAAATGGGAACTGAATACATGTATGTGTCACTCCCCTCTGTTCTAAAGCAGAACTGTCTGAAGTCTTGCACTTTTCTTGACCTAAGAGCCTGGTGCTATAAAATCTGCAGACGGGCACTCTCTTTCTGCCAGGGGTAGTCATATTCAGAGGAACCAAGTGTAGGGGCTCAAGCAAGTAACTCAGAACAGAAATGGAGACTTAGGTTTCCTGGATCATAATTAGATAAGAATGAGGCCCTGGAGTTTTGGGGAAAGAGTGACAGTGGAAACTAGTGTAAAGAAGTGAAAATAAAACTTAACACAGCCACCCTGAGGGGTCTCCTCTTAAGGAAATTAGACATTGGAGTTCCTGCCAGATGGGCCCAGAGGACGGAGAGTCCAGTAGGGTGTGTCTCTCACTTTGTGGGCCTTTCCTTCTGGAGTTTCCGCCTACTGTATGCTTTGCTATGCATCGGGCAGGTAGGTCCTGGAAGTTGGTAACATGACACTGTCACCCTTTGCCCCATGCAAACCTGCCATAATGGATTCACATTTTTACTGTAGAATTCCAGTGAGGATGCTGGGAAGAAGGGAGAGTGTCTTGAGAAATTTCAGGGACATCAGTATTGATATTTCAGCATGGGTACTGCTCTATCAGTAGCTTTGGTGCCTAACCTGGGAGGCCAGTAGTGTCGGTTGAAATGTCACCTGGGCTCCAGAAGCCCTTAACTGAGTGTGAGGATACAGCCTGTGCTGCCCTCTAAATATGATTCCCAGAACACTTCCTGAAGTTAGCTGATACCATAGCAGAGTTCAAGAACATCAGAGTGTGAGAGAAGTGAGGAGGGATTTGGCACTGGCTTTTCAGTGGCTGGAAACAGCAAGTCAGCACCATTGGACTCGCCTCCCAGCCAGCCAGGCAGGCTCTCACCCCACCCTCTGCACTTCAGCTTGAGTTCCCCTTGGTGGCAGCTGCACAAAGCAGCTGCTGAGCTTGTTTCCCCACCCAGCCTCATAACACATTCTGCCCTCTCAGCTTGAGATGAAGTCACCCCTCATCCTCCTATGCACTTCAGAGGCACCTTTTGACATCTGGACCCCAGTTCCTCATGAAGCTCCCCATGCTCTCTGAATTTTACAACCTTTTGACCTAGGTGAGGTTGTCTAACAGTGAGTTGAATTTAAGTTGGAAACTTAAATGCTGAAGCAGAGCAGGAGGAATCAGGTATACCCATGAGTGTGATCGGAAAGGCTATGTAGAATATGAGGGTTGTGCCCAGCAAGAGTTAGATCAGCCAACAGAGGAAACCCAGGAAAACAAGTCTCCTTGTGGGTTAGTTCGCCCCAGAATGAAAGTGTGAATTTATGTTTGTCCATGCCTCTCTTTGTATATAAAATTTTCACATACACATTTTCCCCAATGTGGCTGATTGGATAACTCCAAAAATTTCTATTTTCCCTCCCTATCTTTACCCAGCCTCCGCTATAATGGGCTGCCCTACTTGCCTTTTCGGTTCCAGATATCCCATTTATAACTCCATTGTCTTAATGCCTACATTTCCTACTCGGTCTAAGTACTGATGTTGATAGAGTAGACCATAGGTCATTTTGCAGCCATAAAAAAATGCCTTTATAAGAATACCTGAACCTGTACAGTCTTCTGAATTTGACTGTATTCATCAAGTACATATATTCAGGATTCCTTAGAGTGCAGCCTCCTAGTGTACCTTCAGGGAATGTGAGAATGAAAGAAGACATTACTTAGGTGTAAGCATTTGTATTTAAAGGTTATACATACAGTGGACAAGACTGAGTTTTCACCTTCATGGACCCTCTCTCTTCAGCATCTCCATTTTTCCACCTACACAATAAGGAAGTTGAATCAGAAGGTTTCTTGCCCCATTTTTAGCTCTGAAATTCCATGACACGGCTTTCAAAATGGTGGCAGAAGTTCCTGAAATAGGAAAGTGGGCTTTGATGTCTATAAGGGGATGAAGGATGGTGGTGTCAGGAGAGAGAAGAGACTCATGTGACTAAGCTAAGTAAATACTGGGGATCAGAGTGCATAGGTGAGATTAGGAAATGGAGGGATTTGGAAAGTAATAAGGAATTTAGGGACCCTGCACCTGGCAAATTATCTCTGTCACTTTCAAGAGACTGTATTGCATGGCACCCTTCCTGCAAACCACCCCCCACTCAGCAGCAGCCTGGTAACTGTCCTGACTCCTTGTGAAGTGACACATGGACAGTGACACAGACAACACCGTCCTAGTATTTCTTTCTCAGCGTGTCTAGGCAGGGCTGACCTTGAGTAAAACTTTTTCAGTTTGTATCTATAAATTCATCAGATGATACAGTAGTGTGTGAAGCAGCTTATTAGTCAGAATCCTGCCTATATTTCTATCTGTGTGTGTGTTCAAAGAGAAATAAAAGTACTTTCCCCTGAAACAAGAGTAAAGAACTTTGGAGAGCTATAAGTAGGTGTAAAACAAAACAAATATTATATATATTAATATCAACATATATTATAAAATTAGCAACAGGTCAAAGTTTAAAACTAATGGAATCCAGAAAAGAATAGAAGAGAACCAATGAAAACTGCTAAAATCTCCATATATAGCCACTGGTAACAGTCTGGTCAATTCCTTAGCTAGTTAAAAATTCAGGGAAAGTTGCCTAAGCAAAATGTCATAAGCCAGCTTGGGCGCTGGCTTGGGGAGAGGGGTGAGTTGGCCTGATTGTTCTTTATTAGGAGTCTCGTGTGGGCTGGCTCTGCCCAGCACAGGGGTCCAGTTCCACCTTCCACTCTTCCTCTCTGACCTCTGGTTTCGTCAGTGTGGCAGCTCCAGGTGCCCAGGGTCCAGCTTTACCACTCCAGGTGGTGAGCCCTGATTTCCCATCTCCCTGTTAATGCCCAGAGGGGACTTCACCTGTGGCCCCAGAAGGACTTGAAATGATTCTGCAGCTGGCTCATCCTAGGAATTTCATCAGAAATGGGTGTGGTTCTCCCTGATGGCACGAGCCTGTCTTTGTTATGCTGCATCATCCAAGAACAACTATTAAGTAAATCTGGGAAGGGTAATTGGTCATTAAAGCCCAGCTGACGATTATATAATGTGGCCTAAAATGGTAATGTCATTCAGAGCTCAAAAACAGAATCAGACTGACACTTCAACTGCGAGCAGCTTGGACAACCTTCATGTGGAGTGGCTGGTAAAAGACAAATCAGCATCTCTGAAAATTTAATTCCAAAGAAAGAAAAAAAACTAACTTTACAACAGGAGGCAAGCCCTGAAACTGGAGTTAATGTCCAGATTGCCATGCTGCCTTAATGCTAGCTTTGTGACCTTGAGCAGATGGCATTATTGACTTATTATTGTGTTCCAGTTTATGGGACACATTTACAGCCATTTGATTCTTACAGTCACCCAGGGTAGTACCTGGTAATCTCTTTAAGGAAAAAAATAAAAGGAAACCAGGAGCTAAATGAAATGACTCATTCATTCTTTCAATGTCCTGTGTACACATTAGAGTTACACCTCTCTCAACTTCTGAATCCAGGGGGGTGTAATCTTTAATATCACAAATGTCACAGGGCTGTTATAAAAATGTATAGAATCTCTATATTTTTGGTTCTTGAATTTGGAGGTAGCCAACAAATTCCCAGTATAAGATTCATTTTTTTTTTTTATTGGTACCGGGAATCAAACTTGTGTCCTTGGACTTGCGGGGCAGGCAGCAGAACCACTGAGCTAAATCCCTGGCCTAAAATTCATTTTTAATAATTAGTAGACTTTCATTTTTAGAATAATTTTAGGTTTACAAAAAAAATGGAGCAGATAGTACAGGCTACAATCTTGTCTCCTCTTTTCTACCTCACTTCTTCGTTTTCCCTATCGTGAATGTTTTGTATTAGTGTGGTATATATATTACTACTGATAGACCAATATTGACATGCTCTTTTTATAGTTCAAAGTTACATTAGGGATTACTCTTGGTATTATAGATTCCATTGTATATAGTGGCATGCATTTACTATAACCGCACCATACAGAACAGTTTCACTGCCCTAAAAACATCCTCTGTGCTCTGCTGTTCATCCTTGCCTCCCTTCCGAGCTTCTGGTACCCACTCATCTCACTTTGTCCACTATTTTTAGAGGCCTTTTAACTGTAAATTTCATTGTCATTGAGCATAGTTAAAGATCATTGTCACAGTTTTTCACTCAGAAATAGATTCTGTTTCTGTTTTTCATGCTGGGATCTTAGAAAAATAAACTCTAAAGGATAATTATTTTCTTTCTCTTTCATGGAAATAATTATCCTAGCTCACCAAAGGAACAAATGAGTTAACATTTTCAAAGTATCCTTCATCCCTGCCTTTGCAAAGTATTGTCTTCATCTTCGGTTCTCCTCCATTGGGCATCTTCTGAGGGTCTGAATATGTGGGGGTTTGAATGTCCTAGTCATTCCTCTCACTCTTCCTGCTTGGTAAGATAAATAGAAATGCAGCTTCCATTTGAGCTAAAAGGACAGTCTCTGCCTCTAGAATCTCTCCCCGGGGCTTCTCAAGAGTAAATAAGCAGCTGCTCCATTTTTCCAGAATCTGTCTTCTCTCCCATGACCTTCAAGGCCCCCTACCTTAAAAAAAGCACCTCAGTGTTTCGTCTGGCTGTAAAAGAACAAACAGTACAGTAGTCAGTATTGCCCTATTTAAGTTATAAACAGAATTCTCTACCTGAGCAGTCTTTCTCTGAGGAGGTGATGGATGTTCAGGAGTCTTTCTTGGAACAACCTCTTCAACAACCTGGGAAGAAAAACCCTGATTCTCAGAATGATGAACATTTCTCCTTGTTTGTTTCTCTCTCTCTCTCTCTCTCTCTCTCACACACACACACACACACACACACACACACACACACACACACACCCACACACACACCCACACCCACCCACCCACCCACACCCTACCTCTTTCCAGGCAAGAACATTTGAAGAGGCTAGTCAGTGCCTCCCCCATTTCTAAAACTCCAGTGTTTGCCTTTGCAGGGACTTTTCCAACTTTACCTAGAAAAGAACTAAGCAGAACCCTAGAGCTTGTGGTCAGCCTGCTTCCGGCTGTGGCTTCAGTTAGTGTGTCTGCTCTGACAGAGGAAGTACTTACAGTGACGGGAACTGTCTGGCTGGACTGCAGAAGACTGCAGACAGTGTGCCTCATGACAAGGCCATATGAGATGCCAGCAGCAAGGAGATAGGAAGGGATCTGGCAACCCCCAAAGGCAAATCTCCTGATTGTATACACTTAGAAACAGAATGTCTCAGTGGAAGATGAGTTTCCAAAAAAATGTGGTAGAAGCAAAGACACAGTTTTGGTCCTTGAATAGATATAAAGGCAAGATATTGCCAACATTGCTAGGCCTTCAAATTGTAGTTGGCAATGGAAGACAAGCTTCCCTGGAGTAATGTGGCACTCAAAGATACTCCTAGCTACACAGAAAATAATTGGATGGAGGTGTTCTCTCTTTGCTTCTATACTAGGAATAGTCTAATCTTATTCATTTAGAGATTTAGATTTTCTGTGAGGAGGCCATCCGTCCTGTTTGTGAAGAGTCTTGTACCATATTGGAACTTATCCTACTGAGCAGAAAATAAAGCCAGCCGCAAACTGAGAGAATAGTTTGGCTAGAATTGCTGATTAAGTTTAACTACTGGTACTACTTGGTAATTTAAGATTTGACTTAACCCAAGGTGATTATCTAATTAAAATATTGGCAACAAATTTGGGATTTGAGAGTACAATGAATTCGCTGCAGCTGAGCTTGTTTTGTGTAGATTAGGGTGTTAGTAGGGTCCCTCTTACGCTAGCATTTTGTTTTAGATACAGTATTTAAGAGGGCAGTGGAGGAGAATCTATAGTACAGTGACTGATGAATGTGTAGACTAGGAAATCCCTCTCCTAACTTTGAAGACTTCCTAGGAGAGGGAGAAGAAAAATGTGCTGTAGAGTCCGAGTATATGCCCCACCGTGACCTGCAACAAGTAGGATCTTTCTTTGAAGTGGTGGTTTTCAATCTTTAAATACAATGGCTGATTCAATACAGTGTATATTTTTTTAAAAACTTATTACAGTAAGAGAGACTTTGCCATTAATCCCCCTCAAAAGACTCCCTCTCAGTTTGAACATGCCCTATCATTCTTGCCACCTTCTGAAGCAATCCTGTAAATCCTTTTTTGTCTCTACAAATTGTGTTAAAAAATACAGTGAATGCTACTGCTGAGTGCCATCTCACAGAAGGGCAGGCTCATAAAAACATTACAGAATGTCCTCATCCACCTTATTCACTGGGTCTGGCACCATGGGACTTTTGGCTGTTCCCCAGAGTCAAAATGACCATGAATGGTAAACATTTTTAGTCTATTCAGGACAAGGTACAACAACAGTGGACTACAACAGTGGACTTCCAAAACTGCTTCAGAAAATGACACAAACAATGGGATAAGTGTGTTTGAAGTCAGAGGAATTTAATGGTACTGTGTCTTTTGTTGTAATAAATTTTTTTAAATTTTAAACATTCACTGTATTTTTTCAATAATACTGTATAGTTTTAATTAATTTCATGTTCTGCTCTAGGGTACTTTTTTAGTTTAATATAAAATTATTTTCAGTTATTTACTGTCAACTAAAATGGATGTTCTCAGAGATGTGTTAGCTCTGCGCATGGCTTTATGTATCCCTTGGGCAGGTCTTTATGCCCCAAGGTTACAGGTATCCCATATGTAGCAGGACACAGGAAAGAAAGAAAGATGTAAGTTTTTCCTTCAACCTTGCAGTGCCTGGCAGCCCTCCTAATTAATGCCAGTGTCCCCTCACACACACCCAGCATACTTGTGAGGTCTTTTACCTTAGACTTGAGACCTGCCCTAGCCTGTGGCCACAGTCCATGGACTAAAGCGCCTTAAGTGCAGGGACTTGGTCTTCCTCAATTTTAGTCCTCAACATTCAGCCCTGCACTGGGCATAGAAATTGTAAAAGTTCTGTAAACAGCTGTTGAGCCTAGGAAGTCTATGCATTTTGTATCTATTTGTTCAAAACTCTTTGGGCAGGTGGAGGAGAAAGAAAACAGGAAATGACAGATGCTGGGAAAGAAGGTGGGAATATGCTAAAAACATTCTCATTTTAATCTTCTATCATCTGGCCACTTATTAGGATAAGGAAGAGATACTAGGCTGTGCCCTAAACTTTTAAGCTATGTGCAGACTCATAGATGGAGCTTCTGGAGTTTCATGAAGACCTCATTCATGTGGATTGTGTTTAGAAATCTGTTTTCTATTTTTAAAGAGGGATTGCTAAGCAAGTGAACATGTGAGAGATTTGAAAGCCAGATTTTAGATGAATTTGCTAACATTTTAGACAGTGTAGCATTCAGCTGCATGTTGGCACTAAGTGAACTATAGGAGAGTTCTGGCTACTTGGTGAAGCAGCATGTGTGTCCTTAGATCTGGCCTGGCCAGATGTCCTCTCCCACCTCTCTCTCTCCCCTTCTCAATGTCATGCCCTGCCATTTACTGCCGTTGCTATGCTTATCCACCCAGCACATCACTCTTTTTGGTGCATTACAGCCCAAGCTGCTCAGCCTGTCTGCCCTTTCCTAAGTCCAGCCACTCTTGTGGCCACGTAGGCCAAGGCCTTTTGAAGAGGATGCCTTTGTACTTGCCCTTAGCCAGCCAAGTGCTGTACTTCCTCAGTCTCGGGTCTTTTGTGCAGAAGATTCCTTCCAGCTAATCACTCGTAGTTGGTTCTTTCTTTGTTACCTCTTCCTCTACTGTTCATTTGACACTATCTAGCTTGCACTTCTGCTATCTAGGTGTCCACTTTCCTTAACTACATTGCAAGCACCCTGTTGTCAGGAGCCCTGTCTCCTACTTAGGTGTCAGCCTCCACTTTAAAGAGATCCAGGGTACAGTCACCATGTCTCCACTGAATCTTCAACTCCAGCATGTAAAGTCAGGGCTCCTGCAATATTTGTTAAGTTTGTTATAAATGTTTTTAAAACATTTATTTGAATTTAAATAACATCAAATATACTCAGTTATAGCAGTGTACAATTTGTAAGGACTAGCTAATTCTCAGGATCTCCTTTGAAAAACAGGTATTAGTACCATCTCCCCTACCACCTCCTGGCAAGTTACTCTCTCTACCAGCAGCTCATTTTCCCCACATAATACAGACAGTGGTGAGATGAGTGATTTCTCAACTCCCTTGTGGCATCACATTCTGTTACATCCCATTGGATGGCATATCCATAATCTCCTCAGGATGTGACATTTTAAGTGGGGCTTTGGATCTTTCCTCTTCAGTCTGCTCTTCCTTTGGGATCAGTCTGTATACAGGTAGTAATCATGGTGGGTATGTGGGGGTGCTGATGGCTGGGTTAGCCTTCTGTGGGACTTCTCTGTAGCTCTCGGTTCAGGACTTCACCAGCCCTGTGCACACCACCTCTCCTCCCTTCTTGGGCCAGTTTGCCCTAGTGGACCTATGTTCAGCACACATACTTTCATCTGAGAAATTGAGTTCATTTCTCCCCCAGAGTTGCACAAACTTTAAACCTGAGATATTGTGAATGTAAGGCTGTGTCTGAAGGGTGAGCGCAGGAAGAGTGAATCTAATCAGTGATAGCTCTACAACAAAAAACTGATTTAAACCTGGAGAAATACTTCATGTTTTTAAGCTAGCATCTTTGAGATGGGATATTTTGTTAATCTTTTTCCCATTACTCTGGTGGAAAATTGATCAGAAGGAAAATAGAGTAACATGAAGTCACATGCAAATGAAATGTTTATCTTAGGGCATAGGAAGGTAGAGATTGTCATTTTTCTCTTCAAGAAATCATTTTAAGCAACTCAGATTTACTATTTCAGCCATTGTTATGTATCACTCCATCTTCCCACAACTGTTGATGAAGTGTCTGCTGTGTTGTAGTCACTACAAAAAGATGGTTCCAGCTCTTGTGATGCAGTTGGGCTAGTGAGTTGCTGCCTTCTAGACTCTACTGATGTCTTAAGCAAAAGACCTGAAGTAGATGTGATACCATGTTGACAGGACAGAGTTTTTATGATCTCACTTGACAAGTCTTGTGGAATTTTGTTTCTTTTAAATATATTGATGCCTTCTGTTCTGTACAACAGAGGTTGGCAAACTCTGGACTGTGGGGCAAATCCATCCTTCCCCTAGCATTGGTAAAGTTTTTTTGAAATTCAGCCATCCCCATTCATTTATATATTACCTATGGCCTTTTCTGGACTACAGTAGCAGACTAGTTCTAACAGAGTTGAGTAGTTAAAACAGAGATCATATGGTCTACTATCAGAAAGTTTTTACTATACAGAAAAATATTCTTGATCCCTGATGCATACAAAACAATAGCACATTCTTTGTGTGCATTTGGGGAGGGGGGTTGATTTGTTTTGGAAAGTGTATTAAATTTATCCTGACCAGATCAAAATGGTACAGGTGAAAATGACTGCAGACAGACGTGGAATTAGTTTTCTTTCCCAGATTCATGATGTTTAAACCTCACTGTTCATTCCTGCCTCTCTCTCTTCAGAACTTAGGTGTGAGGGCCGGGAATGTAACTCAGCAGCACAGTTCTGCCTGGCATGCACGAGGATCTGAGTTTGATTCCTGGTGCCCCCCAAAAAAGAACTTATGTGTGACGCATGTTCTGTAGGAGAAAAACACACGTAGGCAAAGGAAGTGAGAAGAGGAGCAGCCCATTCTGTTAACTAGTAGTAAGAATGTTCACAGGTATAAGGTGTGACATAAGCAAGGATAGAGACAGGGGTGGAGGCAATTGAATGGGCCTTCCTTATATCAATGGACAGCACCCCTCAGCCCTTTGGGGCTGGAAGATATAAGAAATGAGAGTTGAAGGGTGGTTTCCATAAGCTCACATACTGGGAAACTGAGGAGTCCTTTCCCCATTTTCATCCCCTTAAAAGTTCCCTTACCCCACCCTGCAAACTCAAGCATACACATGTATCCATTAAAGTGCCAGAACATATGGGCTCTTAAAATCCATTTCACTTCCAGAGAGCTTACAAACAGTTTTCCCAGTATAATAAAGTATGTAGAGAAGTTAAAATCACAGAGATAGAAAATAGGATGGTAGTCGCCAGGGGTATTTAATAGGGATAGGATTTTAGGGAAGATAAAAACATTCTGGTGATAGTTGCACAGTGATGTGAATGTACTTAATGCCACTGAACAGTACACTTTAAAATTGCTAAATTTGGTTATGTGTATTTTACCACAATTTAAACAAAACTTTTCAGACCTGTAATTTGTACAATTCAGAGCTACAATTGTAGTACTCAGAGTTGCAGGTTAGGACTCCCAATTTGAAAACCTACTTTCCCCCTATATTTAATTTACAGTGACTTCCTCTTCTAAGAATTAAGAGTTCAATTCTGTTCAATTAAAAAAGATCATTATTGAATACTTTTTAAAATATATATTAAAAAGTCTAAAAAAAATACACAGATTAGTTCCATCATAGACAAGAGATAACCTAATGAGAGGTGGCACATAGAAAAGATGGCATGGTAAGATGGCCTTTCTTTTTTCTACCCTTAGAAGTAATTCCTACTTTTTTTTAAAATATGAATTCTAGGAAAGAAACCTTGATTGGTTTCCCAGGATGAGAGCCATGTCCTTGGTCAGCAGCGATTCTGAAGGAGAACAGAATGAGCTGAGGAACCTCCAGGAGAAGCTGGAGTCCACCATGAAGCTTGTCACTAATCTTTCTGGCCAGCTATCTGAATTAAAAGATCAGGTAAAGAAGAGATGCATGCCACTACTGTACACCCCATATCTGACAAGGGAAAGATCTGTAGTGCTTGTGGTACAGTGTTGAAGCACTTCACCTGGACAGAAGGGGACCAGGCAACAGTGTGACAAAAGGACTCCACTGGTTTCCCCTC